GATTTATTGTAGAGATGAGGTCTCGCCAAGTTGCCCAGGTCGGTCTCGAACCCGCGGGCTTGGGCATTCCACTCACCTCAGCCTCCCAAAGCTCGGGATTACAGGCTGAGCCACCGAGCCCGGCTTGGGAATCCTCTTTCTATGATTCAAACATATGCTCCTATGCCATGGCACAGACTGGTCAGCTTACCCCCACCCAGCCCTGGCCCTTCCACATGCTACTGGAGACACATTCTGCAGTGGCCAGGTTGCTGGCCCACGTGACAGGTGGTCCATCCTTTGGACGTGAACTCACCAACCATTTCCGGTGGAGGCCAGCCTTGTGCCAGTCTTTGGGGTCCCAGAGGCTGAATGGGAGGCTGTGTGTTCCCTCAAAGGGCTCATAAGAGAGACAGGGGACCGGGCTTGGTAGCTCAGCCTATAATCCCAGCACTTTGGGAGTCCGAGGGGAGTGGATTACCTGAGCCTGTGGGTTCAACACCAGCCCGGGCAACTTTGACGAGCCCTCATCTCTACAATAAATCAAAAAATTAGCCGGGCATGGTAGCACGTGCCTGTAGTTCTGGCTACTTAGAAGGCTGAGATGGAAGGATTGCCGGAGCCCAGCAGGTATGAAGCCAGGGTGGCTGTGAGTGTGCCACTGCCCTCCAGCCTGGGTGACAAAATGAGACTCCCAACTCAAAAAAAAAAAGAGAGAGAGAGACAGGGAACCATGGTGAGGTCCTCATGTAGATTGCAATAGCCCTCTACTTCCACGTATCATTTCTAACTTCACAGCAGCCCTGCGTGTATAGTCACCACCCCCTTTACAGATGGACAGGCTAAAGTAACATCCCAGGGCTATGTAGCTCAGTGGCTAAGATGAAGTGTGCAGGTCTATCCTGCACGTGTCACCAAATTGCTCCATCTCTCTGTGGACTTCATGGTTGAAACAGGCAATGAGGGTACAGAGAGGGGTGGAGGCTTAGCCAGGGCCACAGAGCTGCTGCAAAAAGACATCGGTGAGGACACCTGGTGTTTTCTCCCCTGCTGGGGTGCACCCACAGCTGAAGACCATGCACACTGTCTGGGGTGATGGAAGGCTGGGCATTTAGGTGCCAGAACAAGATGGGGCCCCTGAAATGGACCTTGGAGGCCGCTTGTGAACCCAGAGCCCCCAAAGGTGGTACCGTGGCCACCTGGGGCCAGGCAGCTCTGAGAGCAGCATGCGGTGGCTCCAACCCTGCTAATTGTGTGTGACATCACGTAATAAATGGAACAACTCGGTTAGCAGGGGCAGCCACTAGGCAGGGATGAGCTGATTTGCACAGCTTTCCACGTGGTCCCAGTTGCCATGCGTGGCCTCTGAGGGGCGTGTTTAAAGAGGGCACAGAGGCAGAGGTGAGGCCCTGCCGCAGCCCCCCCCCACCAAGGGCACATTTCTATTTGTAGAAGTTCCTCCTGTTTGGCTCAAGTCACATACAGGGAGCACCGCCTGTGCTGAGCATGGCTGCATGCTGCTGTGCTGCCCCAGACTTTGGGAAGCAGAGTCAGGGCCCCACGTGGGAGCACCCCCGTGTCGGGCACTCCTCCAGGGGCTGTGTAAGCCTCATCTTGTTTGAGCCTGGCCAGGCCCCAGGACAGTGGGCTCTGTTGCTGCTTAGTGCCCTATTTCTCCCTTCATCTCACTTCTCTTCCCTCTCACTTTCTTCCATCCGTTTTTTAAGCTTTGTCTTGCACTAACCACCCAGCAGCAATAGTCTCAGTAGCTTAAATGAAAGAAACAGAAATTCCCACCACCACGCTGTGGTCTGTCACCCCCATTTTACAGATGGGGAGACTGAAGCTCAGGGAGGTGAGGGGACCATCCTAGGTCAGCACTGGCAGGAGGTGAAGGCAGAGTGTGCCTCCAGGGCTGTACCTCACAGGGATCCCCACAATGTCCCTCCCAGTGTCGGAGCCTACAGCTCCTAAGCCCGCCCTGCCTTGGCTCCGAGACAGGCTCACGCTGCAGGTCTGGTTGGAGGGAGAGCCCCAAGAGGTGACCATTCTGCGGTGACTCCCAGCACCAAGACGACAGGTCCTCAAGAGGTGCCACCATCCCTGCAGCTGTGCAGCTGACTCACACTCCTACCCTGTGGACACCCTCTAGGGTTCGCCCAGGAGGACACAGTTAGTCACAGCTACCATTTGTCCAGAATCCCAGCTTTGCCCCAGTTGGCTTCCCTGCCTCTGGCTAAGGTGCCAGACGTGCTGGGTGTGACCTCTGCCCACTCCCTGTGGCTACAGCAGAGCTTGCTGTGAAGACAGAGCTGGTGGGAGCCCAGACCCAGGCTTTGGTGGTAGGGTTGGGAGGTGGGGGCTGATCAGGATGGAGTCTCCAGGGTCAGCCTGTCCTGGATCCGGGAGACCCAGCCCCCAAGTATGGGAGCCAAAGGCCACTCTCCAGAACTCTCCTACCCCAGCATCCAGAAACCACTTCACTGTAATGTTACTGGCTTTCTCTAGACCTTGCCTCTCCAGTCTTCGCAATGGGGCCCCTCATCTGCATCTTGCAGGGGATGGGGTGGGGATAGGCAGACCAGCCAGGGCATGTGAGGGGAGGGAGTGTGAGAAAGCTCTGATACCGGCCTCCCCACTTTCTGCGAGTCTCCCCCTGGAGGGCTGGGGTCTTCCCCACCTCAGACCCCTGCATACTGCCCATGCTGGCCTCATACCCAGAGCCTCAGCTGCCTTCCTTTCCTTTCCCACAGCACTTACAGAATCCGGCCAACTTCCACAATGCCGCCACGGAGCTGCTGGACTGGTGTGGAGACCCAAGAGCTTTCCAGCGCCCCTTCGAGCAGAGCCTCATGGGCTGTTTGACGGTGAGTCCGCACCCTGCGTGCCAGGGCTAGTGGGCCTACCCAGGTGTCGGGGAGGGGGTACTGAGAGCTAGGAGGATGCTGGTGATGGAGGAGATAGCCATCTGTGTGTGTCTCCACACACACACACTCGCCCAGGGACCCTGGGACCCATGAGGGGACATAGTCCCATGCGTCACATGGATTCCCCATGCCAGATGAGAAAGACATGGCTCACCTTGGGGTCAGTGTTCCATCATAAGCAAAGCAGAGAGACCTTTAAAGGGCTTTCAGCCATCCATTTATCCTGCCATTCATTCATTCATTCGTTTAGCAAACATTTATGGAGCTCTTTTTATAGTCATCCATCCATCTATCCACTCAGGTAAGCATCTATCGAGCCCCTATTGCATCCAGCCAGCCAGCCAAATAAACATTGATTGGCCCCTCATATATCATGTATGATCCCCTCTGCTAAGTCCAGGGAAACCAAAGACGAATAAGACTTGGCCAAGCCTGATTTCCTCTCTAGTAGAGGAGGCAGATGCTTAGAGAGATGGCTGAGAGAATCGTGTACATGGTGAAGGCAGTGTACATGGCAGAATCGTGTACATGGCAGAGGGAGCCCTTAGTGGCCAGGAGGTGGGGCGGGACATGCAAAACTGAGAAAAGGAACCCCCATACCTGTGCAGGAGTCAGCCAGGCAGCTGAGGACAGTAAGCATTCTAGGAACAGTGTGTGCAAGAGCCCAGATGGCCACCAGAACACAGAGAACTAGGGAAGGGTCTAGGCTACAAGACGGGCAGGGGCCAGGCCCAGAGTTCATGGCGTGGATGGCCCGCCTAAGAGCCACATGGGAGATGTGCTCCCAGCTGTGAATGTCCCCAGGCATGTGACCTGTGTCCGTAAGTGTGAGGGCATTTCAGAGGTCAGTAAGGCAGCTGCTCAGAGGCCAAGGCAGTTTGAAGGGAATGGGAATGTGAGGAAGCAAATTGCAGGGAGCCTGCCCGTCCCGAGCCTGGAAAAGGAGCGACCAAGAAGGATGCCTTGCCAGGAGGGAGCAGCAGGTGTAGCCCACCATGTTTCCAGAAAGCTCCAGACAGGAGTGAGACAAAAGCCCAGCATGACCCCCACCTGGAGCAGAAGGAATAGTGATAACACGGGCCATCATTGCAAGCACGGTTCTGTCCTGACGTGGAGTTGGCCCACCGTGCGTGCTGTCTCCCTGAGTACACTCTGAGGCTGGTCCTGTGACCCTCCTATCCTACAGAAGAGGAGGCCAAGACTTGTAACTGACTTCGCAAAGTCACACTGCCTTAGAAGTGGGCATGGACGTGACATGAAGGCCTGCCTTTAGGGGATTGCTCTTGGCCATTAGGTATGCCCGCCGGGGGTGCAGCCAGGACCCTCCCAGGGTGCCTCTGTCTGTCAGAAGCCGACCATCTGGCTCCCTTGGAGACACGGGGCCAAACCAGGTGGCCACCTGCACTGCTCAGTCTTCCTCATCCTTCAGCGCATCGCTCCCTTCTCCCTCCCCAGCCTCTTAATCCTCTTTGTGGGGATCCTGGTTCCAGGCTAAGCCCTGTGGACAGACAGATGTTGCCAGAGGCCCCCGGCTCCCGCCCCAGCTGCCGGCAGCCACGGGGGATGGAGGAGGTGGGGACCTTCCACAACATGTGGCCAGACAGGCTGCCACCCTCCCAGCACACTGCCCTGAGCCTGACCCTGCCTGGGATAGGGGGACTCGGAGCTGAATCAGACATGGGTTTTGGCCAGCTTAGATGGACCAGTACCTGGCCCTGCCTCAGCCCTGGTGTTCATCCATTCATTCATCAAACGTGTCCCTGCTGGACATCAGAGGGACACTCTCAAGGAGCTTACCTTCTGGTGGGGGAGCCTGACAATAGACACATAAAGGACCAAATAAGGATACACGCCAGGACCCTGGGAGAGGGGTGGGGCGCAGGTCAGGAAGAATCTCCAGAGCAGGTGATCTCTTTGGGAGGGTGAGAGAGAAGGGTGCCCCAGGTGGAGGGACTTGCCCACACAAAGGCCCTGAGGCTTGATGCGTTCAAGACATAGAAAGAAGGCTCAGGCAACCAGAGCCCAGGAGAGGGAGAAGGCTGGGAGATGGGGTAGAAGAAGGAAGCCGAATGCAGCTAACACAAGCCCACTGGCCACGCAGGAAGAGTGTGGACACGGCTGGATGTTATTTGGAGGGAGCAGGGAGCCCTTGAAGGGTCGCAGACAGGAAATTGATAGGATATGATTTGTGTAGGGACAGGAGCTCTGAAGGGGAGTGTCCTTGGAGGATAGGATGGAGTGTCCTTGGAGTATTATGGAGGGCTTCCCAGGGGAGGGAGCCCAGAGAGGACCCCGTGGATCTGACTGGACAGAGAGGAGGCCATGGCCTCCCAGGCAGGGAGAGCTGTGTGCACAGAGGCGGAGTGCCAGCTCTCCTGGACTTCTGCTCTGTACCCCAACATAAGGCATGAGCTCGTTCTAGTGCCTGCTTTTACCCCCACCGCTGCAGCCTGTGGCTTAACCAGAATGGGGCCCTTGACCCACCAGCCAGACACCTGAGTCTGACAGTCTCTTAGAACTCAATAGAGCCAGCAGCATGAAGGGGTGGGGAGGGGGGGCGAGCGGGTGTCACAGAAGACACCCTCAGTGCCCAAGGTATTTTCCTGGGCACTGTCTCTTTGGATCTTTGTGAAGACCCTTCAAGGTCCCTCCGGCACCCAGCAGGGACCCGGTGAATGTTGAATGAATGATTGAACAACAAGGCCAAGGCAGAGCCAGTTACTGCCCTCGAGGTAGGCAGAGGAGGAGTGACCACCCCCGTTTTATAAACAAGGCAACTCAGAAGGTGAGCAGCTTACCTCAGTCCTGAGCGGGTACCACTGACCCCCAGGATTCCCTGGGCCTTGTTGCCAGTCCCCCCCCTCCTTCTGCTGGGCATTCTCAGCCCCAGCCCTGTCCCAAGGGGAGGGATGAGATGAGGGAGGTTGGAGATCTGGAGGAATCTAGGCAGGGCAAGGTGGCTGACCTGGACTCCCGAGCACACACCCACACACGCACACCCTCACCCTCCCGTCCAGGTGGCAGCTTGAGCGCCCCGGGTTGCTGCAATCCCCTAGGTGACCTCTGGGAGCAAATTCCAAATTCCTCTGGATCCGGCTTACTTTGAGGATATAAATTAAAAACCACTTAGCCTGGGGCAGCAAATGGACACATTTGTGCCACACCAACTCCTAGGCAGCAAAGGCACAATTAAAGTGACATGCTGTGGATCCTGGGAGCTGGCCCTGCTCCACCCTCCCGGTCACACCCTGGGACTTCAGGATGTAGAGGGACGGGAGGCCAGGGCCGCCACTTCCTCTTCAAAACCAGGTTCCTCCTGACCACGGGAGGCTCACTCCCACCTGTCCTCCTGCAGCGGTGCTGAGCCGCCTGTGGGTACCTTGCTCTGGGTGAGCACTTTCCTTCTCCCCTGAGCTGGAATTCTTGGTGACATGCCCAGAGAGTAGAAGAAGCAGCCTCAGTAGCTGAACAGGAGAGCAAGTTGAAGAGGGAAGCCAGTTTCACCTCAGCAGGCCTCTCCCTTCCCTCGCCAGTGAGGAATCCCTACAGCTCGTCAGGCCTGTGGGGTGCAGCCCCCTGCCAGGAACAGAAACCCTTTTTCCAATGTTCCCCCAGACAGCTGTCCTGCTTCACAATCTGTAGGCTGGCCGCTTTTCAGAGCAACAGTCCCTTTGTGAGATTCATGTAATTCGCCACAGGACCTCGAGCAAGTCCCCGTCTTGTCTCTGGACTTGGTTTCCCTCTCTGTGGTGTGAGGGCTGGCCTCCCTGACCTGTGAGGTCCATCTGGCTCCAGGGCCCAGGTGTCTGACCTCCTGGCTTGGGAGCACCCTCCAGGTGGGCTGAGCCAGCAGGCCCTAGGCCACCAGCAGAGGGCAGCAGCGCTGTGGCCATCCATGGTGGCCTTTCTGGGGAGGGGTCTTCTCACGCCACAGGAACTTCACATTGGAGTGGGAGCCGGCCTCTCTGAAAAACAACCTGCTCAGCTGAGCCCACCCTCCCTACTGCTGCCAGTCAGACCCCACTGCACAGAACGTACCGGGGTCTTCAGGCTAGGCCAGAGGAAGCCAGGGGATAACCATGATGAGGCGCTCTAGGGCCACAGGGTTCAGAGTACCGCTCTGCATACCTGTGCTGTGTGACCTTGAGCGAGATCCTGCCCTCTGTGGGTTTTGGCTTCCTCATCAGTGAAGGGAGGCTGTTGGAGTCAGTGTCGCTTCTGAGTGCTGGGGACTTGGTGACAAGCAGACACTCTGCTCCTCTACCCACCCAGTTGACCCTTGCAGTCTGCACAGCACAGGGCCTCTTATTCAATTTAGCTAGCATTAAAAAAAAAAAAAACAGAGCGACAGGATTAGCCAGTAATGGCCAAACACAGGGATGTTTTTCTCCTTTCTGCCCTGAACCCCAGGGCCTGAGGGTCCTCCACACAGCCTGGAAGCTAGGGCCTTAACCCTCTGTCAGCTAAAAGAGGTCCTATCATGAAAACAGCCCAGATGTTCCAGCCAGACTGTCTGGGGTTGCATTCTGGCTGTCACTGACAAGCTTTGGGCTGTTATTCAACCTCATAAAACAGAGATGGTAATAATACCCACCTCTGGAGCTGCCTTGTTACATACAAAGCATTTACACAGCCTTCATGCCTGGGAGCCAGGATTTTCTTCTTTTCTTTTTTTTTTTTTTCTGAGTAGGCGTCTCGCTCGGGTGCCCAGGCTGGAGTGCATTCGCACACATACGGCCACTGCAGCCTCAACCTGCTGGGCTCCAGAGATCCTTCCACCTCAGCTTTCCAAGTAGCTGGAACCACAGGTGCTCGCCACCAGGTCCGGCTAATTGTTTGATTTATTGTAGAGACGAGGTCTCACCAAGTTGCCCGGGCTGGTCTCGAACCCCTGGATTTAAGCAGTCCTCTCACCTCTGCCTCTCAAAGTGCTGGGATTACAGGCGTGAGCCACCACACCCGGCTGGAAGCCAGCATTTTCATGATGATGCTTGTGAGCATCAAGGTTTCCCGCAGACAGCAGCCTCATTGCAGCACCAGTTCAAACAGGCTTGTCTATGCTCATGGGCATCTACCCCAAGACTCCCCCACCAAAGAGGGAGGGCACCAGAGTCCCCATCTGAGCTGCAGCAACCTGTCCAGCCCAGACCCCTCCTTGTTGCTTTTTGGAGAGTGTCTGCTTGCAGACTTGAAATACTCAACAGGCTGTGAGGAGCTAGGGAAGCTGGTTTTTCTTTCATTTTTTCTTTTTTTTTTTTGAGTCAGTGTCTCACTCTGTCGCCCGGACTGGAGTGCAGTAGCCGCGCCCGGCCACCGCAGCCTCCACCTGCTGGGCTCAGGCGATCCTTCTATCTCAGCCTTCCAAGTAGCTGGAACCACAAGCATGCGCCACCACACCTAACCAATTTTTTGATTTATTGTAAAGACGAGGCCTCACCATGTTGCTCAGGCTGGTCTCAAACCCTGAGCTCAGGCAATCCTCTTGCCTCAGCCTCCCAAAGTGCTGGGATTATAGGGGTGAGCCACCCGGCGGCCCAGAGACTCTGGAACATGCAGAGGGGCAGAGAGAGCCCATGGGAGAGAGGCCCGGGGGTGTATAGACGGTTTCTGTGCCAGGGCTTCTGTTTACACAGAAATGCTGAGCAAATATCCTAACCTGACAGTATCCTTTTTACCTCCCAGCCTGGCTCAGACATTAGCCCAGCATGAGGGGCTTTCCAGGAGGGAGGTACAGGGAAGGCCCAGGGCCCTGTTTCAAGAGTCACGGGTGGTCCTGGGAAGGGAAATACATTGGCTCCTCTGCAATGCAGCGTGGGACACTCTCAGAGCCTCTAGTGTCCGCATGTGTTCAAGGAGGAGGTTGGCCTGGATGAGGGGTGTTCCCATACTTCTTAACCCCAGAGCCCTTGTCCTCAAACCCTAAGACAGAAAGCAGGAAATGGGGTGGGGGGCTGTTCTGAGGATCCAGGGGCCAGGCCAGAGCCCAAAGCAGCCTGGAGCCTTGGCCATGGAGACGCCCCCTTTCTCAGAAGCACCAGCCAACCACATCTGGGTGCTCTCCCTTCCCACTCAGCCATGGCCGCCCCAGCTGCTTTCTAAAACGACTCCATTTTCCAAGGTCCTTCCTTCTTAATAAAGAAACCTAATTTGCTCCTGTTAATGAGGAAGGCAGGTGGGCAAGAGCAGGTCTGGCAGTCTCGGGACACCTGGGAATGGGTAGGGACGGAGTACGGCCAGATGGGCATGAGCCTGTGGAGCCATTCAGGGGGTCTGCTGGGCACCCCAACCCCACACTGCCTCCCAGGTGACTAACAGGCCTCCCAGTCTCCTACCTCTCACCCTTCCAACCTCTACTTCTGAGGGTCACAGGATGGGTGGGAACTTCAGGGGCTGAGAGCCGTGGCTTGGTGCTAGAGACTGCCCCCAGGCTAAGCATGAGGGAGAGTCCTGCAGTTTCTAGGCCAAGGTTCAAGGACCCCGGGGCTAGGCACAGAGCCATGCATGAGCAGCATTAGCACACCCACGCCATCCGGGAAGCCATAGCCGTCTCAGGTCACTCTGGCCTGAACTCCACGGGTAGATGCAGATGCTGTCTCTGGAGGGGCAGGGCTGGGCCTGAGGGTCTACATTTGTTTTTTTTTGTTTTTTGTTTTTTTTGAGTTGGAGTCTCACTGTGTCACCCAGACTGGAGTGCAGTGGCAGCCTCGATCTGCTGGCCTCCGGCAATCCTTCCGCCTCAGCCTTCCAAGTAGCTGGAACTACAGGCGCGCGCTACCATGCCCGGCTAATTTTTGATTTATTGTAGAGATGAGGTCTCGCCAAGTTGCCCAGACAGGTCTCGAACCTGCAGACTCAGGCAATCCACTCTCCTCAGCCTCCCAAAGCGCGGGATTACAGGCTGAGCCACCGAGCCCGGCTGGGTCTACATTTCTAATAGGCCCCTATGTGATGTTGGTGTCACTGGGGGCATCCAGGGACAGTCAGCACCCCACAGTGGTGGGTGCACAAGCTCAGTAAGGGGCAGGGGTGGAAGGATTCCAGGAGTCCAGGTCTTGGAGGGTAGATTGAACAGGCCTGCAGTGGAGCAGAGAGACTGGCCTGGGCCTGTCCTAAAGTGCAGCATCCCAGCCGACTTCTAGAATGTGGCCAGATTTAAGCCCTTAAAAGTGGCAGGGTCTGTGGGCTTGGAGTTAGTCCCATCACTAGACTGAAAAACCCCCACCGACAGAGGCCAAGATCCCAGGGCTGGCACAGAACAAGACCCAGTGGAATCCCAGCTCTGCCTGATCTTGGGGACCTGCCTTAGCCTGCCCACCTTACCCCTTCACCTGTAAAACAGGCATATCCACCCACTCTGGGCCCAATGACTCACCCAGCCCTTCCTTCTCTCTTGCTGCCAGGTGGTCAGCCGGGTGGCCGCCCAGCAAGGGTTTGACCTGGACCTCGGCTACAGACTGCTGGCTGTGTGTGCTGCGAACCGGGACAAGTTTACCCCAAAGTCTGCCGGTAGGTGTCCGTCGGGGGCTCCATGAAAGTCACTGGGAGGTAGGAAGGGGAACTGGACTCAAAACCAGGACTGTCCATCTTCCCTGCCGGCTGGTGGCTTCATGTGTCTAGGTGTGGTGTGAGCCTCTGGGGAGGAGCACCAGTCCACCAGGCCCTGGGGCCCCCCTGTGGGGCTATGCCTGTGTCTCTTCTTAGGGGTATACTTGCCTCAGGGGGTTCCTCAAGCCCAGGAGGATATCAAAGCCCAACAGGAGGCGCTGTGCTAAAGGCAGGACATGCATCGTCTCATTCCATCACCTCAGTGACCCCTTGGCATAAGCACTGTGATCACCCCCATTTTACAGATGAGAAAACTGATGCTCAGAGACAATGAAGAAGAGATTCCCCAAGGTCGCACAGCTGGAAAGCAACAGAGCTGGAACTTAAGCCCAGGCCTGACTACAGAGGCAGCATTCTTTTTTTTTTTTTTTTTGAGTTGGAGTCCCACTCAGTCTCCCAGACTGGAGTGCAGTGGCCGCTCCCGGCCACCGCAGCCTCGACCTGCTGGGCTCCGGCGATCCTTCTGCCTCAGCCTTCCGCCTCAGCCTTCCAAGTAGCTGGAACTACAGGTGCGTGCTACCACGCCTGGCTAATTTTTTAATTTATTGCAGAGATGAGGGCTCGCCAAGTTGCCCAGGCGGGTCTCAAACCCGCAGGCTCAGGCAATCCACTCACCTCAGCCTCCCAAAGCGTGGGATTACAGGCTGAGCCACCGAGCCCGGCTAGAGGCAGCATTCTTAACCTTTATATTCTACTATATTCATCCATTCATTTAAAAAATTATTTAAAATAAAGCACAGGCCAGGCTCGGTGGCTCAGCCTGTAATCCCAGCACTTTGGGAGGCCGAGGCGAGTGGATTGCCTGAACCTGCGGGTTCGAGACCCACCCGGGCAACTTGGCAATACTTTGTCTCAACAGTAAATCAAAAAAATTAGCTGGGCATAGTAGCACACACCTGTAGTTCCTGCTCCTCGGAAGGCTGAGGCGGAAGGATCACCAGAGCCCAGCAGGCCGAGGCTGCAGTGGCAGGGAGCATGCCACTGCACTCCAGTTTGGGCGACAGAGTGAGACTCCAACTCAAAAAAATAAAGTACACATGTAAAGTAAAAATGAATCCATGCATTCAGCAATCTTAAAAGCTCTGCATAGCATTCTTCAGTGCAATTTTGTCCTCTCATGGGGTCTCCTGATCTCTATGGAACAGGGCCACGGATGGTGCCAAGCACAGTAAAGCTGCTGTTCTCCGTTGGCTGCCATCTTCATAACCTTGTTTAGGTCCTGTGAGCCTTAAGCCAGACAGACCCGTGACACTCTAACCCTGTCACTTGCTGACTTTGTGGTCCCTGAGCCTCAGTTTATCTCAGGAAGGCAGGAATGATAATGAGACCCACCTTACAGGGTCCTTGTAAGTGCTAAAAATATATCAAGTGCCTAGCCCGCGTCTGGGTATTGTTAATGTTCTTTATTGAATCAGAACAAGTAGTTGAGAAGAAAAATAAAAACCCAGTTATTTCCTCTGTATGACAATAAAACAGACATTTTCACGGAATGCGTCCATCAGTTCTTTGGAGTGTGTATAGAAACAGCCTTCATGGATGTATTTAAAGGACATCTCAGGATGTGCTTCCATAAATCTGCTCAGTGTGTGATCTCTCGAGTACGTATCTATGCTCTCCCTGTGTGCGTTTACAGCCCGTGCACACAGTTTGTGCTGCACATATATAAAGGTGTGTGGGGCCTCATGAGCCAGTAGCCCTCTACAGCCCTTGACGTGCCGGTGTGAGTTGGGACATCGCTATGGTACAGAAGCACATGCTGGGAAATGGTCTTGGACTCTCACAAGGAGTGTCAATTCCTGATGGAATCTGCAGTGTTTTTGTTTGTTTGTTTGTTTGTCTTTTTGAGTTGGAGTCTCACTCCGTCGCCTAGGCTGGAGTGCAGTGGCACATTCATGGCCACTGCAGCCTCAACCTGGTGGGCTCAGGCAATCCTTTCACCTCAGCCTTTCAAGTAGCTGGAACTACAGGCATACACCACCACGCCTGTCTAGTTTTTTGAGTTATTGTAGAGATGAGGTCTCACCAAGTTGCCCCATCTGGTCTCAAAACCTTGGGCTCAGGCAACCCTCTGGCTTCCACCTTCCACAGTGCTGGGATTACAAGCATGAGCCACTGCGCCTGGCTGGAATCTGCAGTTTTAATAATAACTTAAGTCAGTATGATTTTGACAAGGTAAAACATGTGATTTATCAAAGAAACATGTGTCTCTTGAGTGCCTGTTCTGCCAGGGCTGAGGTTCCAAGAAGGAGCCAACAGAAAGCAACCTCCCTTGAGAAACTTGCAGTCAAGAGCAGGGGCTGGCAAACTGTTTCTGTAAAGGGCCAGACAGTAGATATTCCAGGTCATGGGCTCTGTGAAAGCAGCCATAGACAATATGTAAAAGAATTGGTGTGGCTAGTTCCAATAAAACTTTATGAAAGCAAGTCATGGCCTAGAGATTCTGGAGGGAGAGGAAAACATTGATCACATAATTACAGGTATATGTATGGGTGGGCACATGTGTGCAAGATCAAGGTGTGACGTGTCTTGAAGGAAAAGTCAAAGATGCTCTTGTGCTGTTGGTGGGGACAGGCCACTCTGGGGTGGAAGAAGGCATACTTGAAACCTGAAGGTTGACTGAGAGTTGAGGAGGTGAAGAAAAGGAGGAGGAGCTTCTTCCCAGGTAAAGGGAGTGGCCTATACAAAGGTCCCAGGGTGGAAGGAGAACAAGGTTTTTTGTCATGTCCAAGAGAAGGGGAGGGAGGGGTCCTGGAGCCCAGAGGTAGGGGACTCATGGCAAAGGTGAGTTTGGAGAAGCCAGCAGCGGCTGAATGTTCAGGGCCTGTCTTAAAGGTTGCGGTCTGTCCTAAGACTAATGGGACAAGCTAAATTCTTGATTTGTGAGTACTAGCTACAAAAGAACAGATTGCCTGGGAGTGGGGAGTCCTGGATGTAGGGAGCCAGTTGGCAGGTCAGCAGGGAGGTCAGGTAAGGATGTTGATGGCTGGACCAGGAAGATTAGGAGTGAAGTGGAAAGAAAGGGGTACTTAAGAGGCAAACCCAAGACAGAGAAGCATGACCAGAGGCATAGAGGGAAACTGGAGAAGTCTGTCCCAGAAGTCTGGGTGCTCCTGAGTGGAGGAGGAGCAGCTTGGTCCCTGTGCATCAGCCCTTCAGGGTTCCCTAAAGCCCCTGCCCTGCTGGCGCATGTTGGGTGTCCTTCTGGGCTGTGTGGCAGTGAGACACAGGGTACGATTTGCATTTGTGGATGAAGAAGTTGAAGTTCAGAGAGATCCTATGTCTTGCCCAAGGTCGCCCAGCTCATAAGTGATGGGGTTAGAGTCTGAACTGACCCTCCAGCCTCCAAGCCTGGGGCTCTGTCTCCTCCATCGCAGCTGACTGGGCTGCTTGGAGGCGTCTGTTCTCCTGGCCTGGTATCTGGGAAATCACTCTTTTTTTTCTCTTGGGAAAAGCCTTCGCCTAGCTTAGGTGTCTCCAGCATGGCCGTGGGCTCTGCTGAGTGGCATTTGCAGCATCACTGCGCCCAAAATAAGGGATTTATTCTTTCCTCCATCTGCATCCCCAGTGAGCCCAGCTCTTTGCAGTTTACAAAGCCCTACCCCATGCATTCTGGCTCTTAAATCACATGTACTCCCTAGGCCCCCGGGAGGAGTTCTCAGCATGCCCATTCTGCAGCTGAGAACACTGAGGCACAGCAATGCCTGTGGCTGGGCCCTCTCATGAATTTCCTTACTAGGAGTCAAACCCTCATCAGCGCTGACAGCCATGACTAACCACCTTTCTTTTTTTGAGTTGGAGTCTCACTCTTGTTGCCCAGGCTGGAGTGCAGTGGCACGCTCACGGCCACTGCAGCCTTCACCTGCTGGACTTAGGTGATCCTTCCACCTCAGCCTTCCGAGTAACTGGAACTACAGATGCCCACCACCACGTCCGGCTAGCTTTTTGTGATTTATTGTAGAGAAGAGGTCTCACCAACTTGCCCAGGCTGGTCTCGAACCTGCGGGACTCAGGGAATCCTCTCGCCTTGGCCTCCCAAAGTTCTGGGATTACAGGCTGAGCCACCACACCCGGCTGACTAACCACCTTTCAAGGCTGCATCTTCAGAAGGGACAGGTCTCACAGCTCTCAGGTCCCAGTCACCCTTGAGCCAGTCTGAGGGAGAAGGCTGCAATGGCTGGCTTTATTTGAAGAGTGAACAGCCAGCTGGGGGCAGGTTGGGCCACAAGGGGGTGGAGGCCATAGGGAGCAGAGCTGTGACCCCAAGTTCTAGAGGCGCCTCCAGCACCAGGCCCTCCCCGCCCACATTTGGAGTTGCCCACATTTGGAGCTGTGGCCTTGTCTGCGAAGAGAGCTGATTCACCTACCGCCCAGGTTGCCCCTGGGAGTCAGTGAGATCCCCTTATCATGGAGTGAGGGAGGGGCCCAGCTGATACCTGACACATGATGGATGCTAAGTAAATAGTACATGCTAGCCTTTCTGCTTCCATCTGTCCATCTGCCTTCCCCAACATGGCTCCTGGCTTCTCTAAGGCCCTTTTTGCCTCAGCAAGCCGTTTCCCACTGGTTCCTTTCTCCTGGGCTCTGGGATGGGTGCATGACCTTGCCCCTGGACATAGCTTTGAGGGTCTCTGCAAGCCCAGTGTGCGTGTGTGGTGGCCGCCACAACTGGCCCACCTGGCCAGCTCCCAGCAAGGTTTCTGGAGTTCTAGGACTCTCCCCGTTCTCCAAGCTCTACAACAGGCCACGCTGCCTGACCTTCCTGTCTTTCCCAGTCTGTCTAAGGTGTTTGTGCAGCTTTCGCCTACCAGTCCCTTCCCTCCTTTTTCTCTGGGATCTCCAGTGTCCCATCTCTCTGCTCCCTGCTTACTGCCCTTGTCTGTCTCTCGTACATGTAGCTTTCTCTGTCTTCTGCGTTTCTCCATGTCTC